GCAGATTCAGTTCAGCAATGTTTATTAGCTACAACCTCTAGCAAGAATCTTCCCAGACTGAAACTTAGTTCCCACAGTCAGCCAGTGAAAACAGTGAATTCCTCAGGGAGGTGCCAGCCTCATCCTCTTATCTCTTCCTCACCCCTCAGGAGACGAAAGAGGATGTTTCCCTCCCCGAGTGTGGCCTTCATAATTCCATTCCATCACAGCAGCGTTCATATTAACTGGCCAATGTGTTTCATGTTTCAGTGATGCGTAAATTTACCCACAGAATTACCAAAAGCAGGAGGTGGTGCTAGTATGTGCCCAAAAGGATACCAATTCCCATAATCCTCAATCATGGATTTCCCTATGCTGACTGGAGAATATGGGAATCAGCCTGTAAGAGGCACCAGGTTGGATAAGTCTACTTTAGATTAAGTTACCAGGGTCCACACCTTGTGCTAAACCACAATTTGTCAAGTACTGACTATAGTTGGGTTCACATGTGCTAAGCCCCCCCCCCAACAGCCCAAATTGACAAAAGGTTGCTCTAGTGTGTTAGGCAGAGATGATTTTGTTGTTCGGTCGTTACTGGCCCTAATTTTATCTGGAGGCCGTGATTGAAACTTGAATCTTGGTTCTCTACCTTTCAGCTACTGTCTTTCAACAAAGGAGGGTGGTGGGAAGCCCCCCCCCCCTTACAAATTGGATTTGAAGCAGGCTGATGTAATAAGGGAGTGTTCACGCTCAGGTCTGCAAATATTTTGTTCTGTCATGGATGGAGAGGAAGTTTGGGGGACTGTCAAAATCATTAAAAGATGCAACTTGTCACAGGTAAGTAAACTTGCATCTTTTCAGATCCAGTTAGTATTTGGTTATCAATTAATATTGAAAGAACATTTATACTAGCATCACTCAACTTTTAGACACCTTCCAAAGCATCAAGGTGACAAAAAAGTTGAACAAACTAGACCCATTGCACAAAATCTTACAGAATGAAAAAGCAGGGGGAAAAAATCAGGATTCCATTTAAATCCATAAAAAGGCATTTCTGTGATGTAATGGGTTTAGGGTTGAGAATTCTCCCTTGCGCAATTTCTACTCGCATTAAGTGTGTTCGTACCTGACCCTGAAATGTTTACAAACTTAATTCTCTGCACAACTATATATATTTAGGGAAGATCCAGAATTTTTTTTTTTTAATTTTTGCATCTGAAGATGGAATAAATACAAGATGGACAAGATCCAGCCAAAATTAAGCACTAATTCTAAGGGAAGAAAAAATTATCATGGGCTTAATTTTGATAGCTGAAATGTTCTTCTAAATGTTCTTGCACATTGTTACATTTTTCCTCTGAATACCAAAATATTTCTACATATCAAAATAACTACAACTTGTTGTGTAATCTCATATATATATGAATATTACATATTTATACAGTACATACATGCCCTTAAGACATTCATGCCCCAGTCACCTCACGGCTTGACTACTGCAATGTGCTGTACGTGGGGCTGCCCTTGAAGACCACCTGGAAGCTTCAACTGGTCCAGAATGCAGCGGTGTGGGCAGTGATGGGCATGCCTCAGTACCTATAAAACCCTACATGGCATAAGACCTGGTTACTTAAGAGACCATCTGTCTTCCATAGTATCTGCCCTGCCAGTTCAATCTCACAGGGTTGGCACACTCTGGCATCTATCAGGACCCCAGAAGCGTACCTTCTCTGTGGCAGTACCTGCCCTCTGGAGTGAGGCTCCCTCTGAGATCTGGATGGCTCCCATTTTGCTGTTGTTTACAAGAGCCACTCTTACTTTTGGCTTTTGGTGAGGGAGAGGGAGACCCTTCACTTCATCGTATTTGCCATCATTTATCTTTTATTGGTATTATTGTAATTTCTTTAATGTTATGAGCTGTCCAGAGTCATTGAGAGTCGGGCAGCATATAAGTGTTGTAACTTATTATACAATATTCACAATTCAGCACTACCCAGGTCTATTCAAAAACAATTCCCAATAGAGGTATTCTCAGCTAAAAAGTCAGTTATCGCATCTTCCTCCAATTATTAGTTGATGTCACTAATAATCACAAGAAGAAAACACCCCATGGAAAAAAATCAGTGACTTCATAGATAGAATATAAATATTAGTGCATTACAGTATTTTTCTTCCTAGTAACAATAACGGACTCAAAGCAGTACAATAATCATTTAGCTATGTGGACAGACATGGGATGTAAGAAAGTAAGGACAGATAATCATTCCATTCTTTTACTCTCTTTACATTTGTCCATCCTTTACTACTATATATTACTGAAGACTTATTCTTTTTATTACAGTTAATAGTTTTACAAATAAAACACCAGGACAATAAAGCATTCCAATTTGTTGAGTATACACTATTATGTTTGTTCATTCTTTTCTCTGAAGTCTTAATATCTGCGTTTCTATTTTTTTAATTGGACACTTGGTTATTTTTTTAATATATTTTTTTTAATTAACCATTGCCCAAATGACCTCCAAAGTGATTTAAAGATAAATGGGGGGGGGATGAAAAACAATTAAACCTTTGAGGTTATTTACATTGGAGATGTGAGTGGCTCCAACTGAGGAAGAAGCACATGTCTTCATTCATTGATTCACTCATTTAACAGTTTGTATGCTGCCTCAAAAGATCAGAATCCGGCAGACAATGGTTTTCCCTGTTACACTGTAGAAACAAAAGTTGGACTTTGAAGAAGCAGGATAAGAAGAATATTGATGCTTTTGAACTTTGGGGTTGGAGAAGACTCCTGAGAATATCGTGGACAACCAAGAAAACAAACGGATGGATCATTGAACAAGTCAGCCCAGAGTTGTCACTGGATGCACAAATGACCAGGCTCAATTTTGGATACGTGATGCGAAGACCCACCTTGTGAAGTCTGTAATGTTGGGGAAAGTGGAAGGAAAGCGAGAAAGAGGACAGCCAGCAGAAAGGTGCGTGGACTTGATTACAGCTGCAGCGGGTGCACCACTGGAAGCCCTGTCTGGGGACAGATCACCAAGAGGCGACACCAACTTGATGGCATTAATCCATCACACGCCAGGGCTAAGGCTGATGGGTCTGCATTCCTGGCCGTGTAAGAAGGGGGGGCTGGGGAGCAGCTGGGCAGAGGGACATGAAATTCAAAGATAGCTGCACTTACGCCTGCAGGTGTCCGTCTGAACTGAGAGGAGATTCCTCCTGGAGCGGCGGTCAGGGCTCTGGCTGTGTGGGAATGCGAAGGTTAAGCTTTCTCTTATTCTCCCAGTTCCATGGCATTGCACAATCCACTAAATCCTATTCTGATCACTCTCACTGGCTTCCTACACAACACTAGGTTAACGTATGATTCCATAACCGCATTCACACAGCACCCCTATTGTAGTTCCTTTATTAACTCATTTCCTGAGTTCAGACAATCATTAAACCAAATGGGGGCAAGTAAATCGTTTTTGCACTCGAACATCCCCAGGAGCTTGACTTGAAAGGAGTTCCGTTTTTTTTTTTTTTTAGCGCACCCTTTTTTTAAGAGTATTTTTTTTTTCAGTGCACCACGCGACTCTAGCCAGCATACATATATTTTACTACAAGGATAGCGCAGGAAATTGGGTGGCGGGGGGGGGGGGGGG